ATCACGGTTTGTTATAGTTTGCTAATAAGATAAAATGACGTAGGTATTTCCGACAACAGACTGTTTTACTTATTTATAGCATTTGAAATATTTACACTAAGAATGGACGTGTACTACCAACATACGTGACAACTGAAGCATAATCTCAGTTGAAACAATATAAGCATATTAATCGATGAATAAATTAGTGTATATAAAAGAGATGAAACAATGTTGTAGAATATCTTAGGAAAACCTTTCTTTTATGTCTAACGAAACAGTTTATCCTTTTTGCAAATCAACCTAGAACCTCGCACACGAGTGCATCACCTCAGGTTGCCACAATTCACAGTAGTACACAAAGAACAGGTGGATAGAAAAAGTGATATAGAAGTAGACAAAGATGAAGGTTAGTGTGAATAATCAAATTTACGAAGATCTCAAGGAGTGAACACATCTGCGCCATTGTCACCGATTTTCAGCCATCTCATCAACAGTCCTCAACCACTGATTCCTTTTGTCTCGGGGACCTCAACCAGGTAGTCTACATCTCCCCACATTGGCTCCAACCAACAGTAAGAGACTTCGTCGACTGGTGGTAGGTCGTGATCTGGCCACCGTCAACCCTCTTCCAACCTCATCTATCTTCCCCTATCATGCCGCATCGAAGTAGGCGATGACTTTCCATGGTCAACACATGTTCAAGTCATCTGAATCGACTAAATTTCACAACCTCACCAATCGACTTGCCGACCTGTCTTGCCTAGTGCGCTTCTCCTGACTTCATTACTACTCACACATGGTGATCCCACCAAACACGAGTATTGCTACGAAGACATCTGTGATACAAACCCTGTAGTCGCCTAATGTCTTCTACTTTTAATGCCCATATCTCATAACTCCATTGTCGACAGCTGAATTTCTTAGAAATATCTACGTTATTTTTACTTAATTTTAACATTTATGGTCTGTACCATGCTTAGCTGTTTGCATCAAGTTGGCTTTACGGACTTCAGCGTATTGTTTTAAGTAACCTAAGGTCACAGCGTTGTAAATAGACGTTGACCGTTTGTTGGAATTGTTTCTTGTTACTTGATTTGATCCCCTTTTAGAGAAACTATGTCTACTTGTCCTGAGGTACTTTCCGACTGTGCTTAACAGAAATGCTTTGTTGCATAGTAGATTATTTTTATCACAGTGAAACTGTTACTGGGTGAATAGTAATTGAAAAATACTGTTGACGTTTATTTTCGTTAGTTATTTTATTATTTATCAATAATAACGTAGATATTATTTTGACAATTGTGTTCTGACACATCTGAAGGTAGTTTTGGGTTACCCATTACTCAAAGATGCTTTGTAAAGCATACAAAACAAGTGCAGCTGATATACTGTCGAAATGAATTCAGTTTTCGATTAACAACTCATACACACTCGGACAGGAATAATTGGAATTCAATCGTTATACACAAAACCAAGTGTTGATTTGTCGTGCACTTGTGTAACCTACAGTTATATTCATTGCTAAGATGAAACCAGTGTCAATACCGATACGTCAAAGGAACATTGACATGAAAAGCTATGACTTCAACATAAAGAAGAGCTTCAGTTACGTAAAGGAACTAATATCATCTGAAGAAGTATCGATTACTGACTACCAAGAAAGAGAAAAAGACACTGTACTGCCTATTCTGATTACACAGTTTTACTTCTACCATATCTTTTTTGTACACCATTTTACTATTTCTGATAACATTGTTTGTGTTCCCTTTTTCTTTCCACATTCATATCTTCATTCAAATACACAGACATTAATTCGTTTATAATCTACTCAGGGAAAGTACTTATCAAGTGAGTTATGTATGAAATGTCACAGCGCTGGTGATCCGCTAGAATGACTTTGACATTGTTGCGATTCCAAAGGCCGATTCATCATTCTACAGTGAAGGATAAACACTGAAATGTACACTGGTGATGCTCGTCTCATAATCTGTGTTAAACCGCTTAATATACTGGTGAACATAAGAGTTCCACATTCTCAAAGTGCAAACGAAAATGACTGTATTGTGAAGTTGGCTTCGCCCAACTGTATCTCACTCGAGTTCACACCACAGATGGTGTGTTGTGTCAATCGAATAACTGAACTATACCTGCAATCTATTTGTTATCTCTTGATTCTAGATAGCATATGTTTAGTTAAACAGTTTCAAATGTTGTTCTGGTCGAAATGGATATTTTGGTGACAGATTGGAATGGAACGATTGCTGTCAGATATGATCCTAAATCAGTAGATATCTTAGATCAATATTATAATGATGTAAGTTGCTATAGTTGTTATTTTTAACTGTAAGGTTTCCAATGTCTTGATATAATAATAAAAGGCAATATATTTGCCTGATTCCAAACTATAATTCTATTTACAATACAGAATTATCAGCATTTAACATTGCGTTGGGCAAAATTTTTCCAGATATATTAACAATGATAATGGTTTATAGTAGGCTACAAATAATAATAGCGTTGTTTAAATATATAATGACTGAATGGTTGTGACAGCTTTCGTTATTACATAGAAGATTGATACGGTTGTTTACAATATACTTTTCGTCACACAACATACAAGTCATATAAGACAGAGTGGAATTCTTGTATGTAGTCCATAAAGTTTAATGTATTTGCTTTTTGTCTTCCTTGAGGACAGACATATAAAGAGGATGACTTTCATCGGATAAAATATTTGTAGCCAGCTGTTCACAAGAGTTAAGATGCCTTTCCACAACTGAGTCTATCAGTACTGTTAAGTGTGTACCACTCCTTCTACGGACAGTCATCAAATACTTAAGCAATGCAGTAGTCTTTTCTCAAGAATGAAGGGGAGAATAGAGGGAAACAGTAAATAAAAATAGGCAGGACACAAGTATTAACGAAGCGTAATACCAAAGGCTGTTATACCAGACAGTTGCAGTTTCCTTACGTAAAAGGTCAGGCGGAGGATTCTTATCGAAATCAGTAGAATATGGAGGATGGCATCAATAAAGATCAGAAGGGAAGCATAAGTCAAGATGGAGTACGCTTAATACATTCTTCACTACAGAGCCACCAATAAAACAGTAGTCATGGGACTGAAGGGGATTACACAAGTCTTATTCATGTCTTAGGTTGAAACCAAGCATCTGATATTTAGAAGAACTATGTGTAGAGAGATCAGTGACCCATTTCGGTTAGGAAGTTGTTAAACTGAAAATTATATGAAGAGGAGATGATCGGCATGGACACAATCAGGTCATCGGCATACTTAACAAAATTAGTTTTCGTCGAGGTAGGTAAGTCATACAAAAAGAAAAAGAAAAAAAAGAGAAACAGCAGCACCTTGAGGTATATCAACTTCAATAAGCAGCGAAGTAGAAAAGCTTCCCACTGTATAAACTGTATTGTTTTCCCTCAGAAAAGTAAGAACAAAGACAGTTGGCAACACAACACTCAATAGGAGTTCTGATAAGTGTGTTCAATGGTAAGTTGTATAACGATTTCTAATAAATTAATTCAAGTCTATTACACCAAAGAAAAAATTTTCTGAAGATAATTATGTAATAGATTCTGTACATTTGGACTCTGATATGCTATACTTTAAAAGCTTGGCTATAACCTTGTCATCTTCAACGACTAATCCACAAAATTAGTTAAGTAAAAAGTAGACTGAGTAATTTATCTGTTCTTGGTCACTTTCAATTTTCAAGAAAACAAAAAGGTACACTGTGATGTGTTCATTTTAAACACAGAAACAACTTGCAGTTGTCATTGGTCAAAAGTGATACAAATATGCTGAATATTATTAAATCGAGAAATATGACTTTCATATTGTGTTGTTAATTTATTTGAAAACATATTTTCCCCTCAATAAAGTCTGTTTACTATTCTAACAACAGTTTAGTAGAAAGCTAATGAAATGAACAAGTCGATGAAGTTAGATTGTATGAAAGAAACAATGAAGTTATCATGAGCAAATACATTGAAGATGATTACTGAGTATAATGATGCTCATCGTGTTTACTGCTATTCACTTTTAAGAACTGGCTAAAAGTAAATACTTACATTGGTATATTGACGTAGATGGGAGGTAATGGATGCAGTCATCGAAATGACATTTTTGTCTATCAATTATTTTCATAAAGAAAATAGCATCGATTTAGGAGAGTACTGTTTTTTTTTTAACTAAAGCAGGTAGAGTTCTATATCATACACACTGAACTACCCTATTATTGTGTAGTTATTCTTGCCTGATCAACTAGATAGCATTACATACCTTCACGTGGACTAGTGACCAGAATCGCATATGATCGGTAAATTTGATTACTTATGATTGATATATGTAGATGTTATAGAAATCAATGACCAAAATAATACATCCATAGTAATGGCCTTTTATCACTTTATCTCCTCTCATTGACTCACATTGAGCTGCTTAAAACGGTTGGGGAACTTGAAATTTTGTTTTACTTAGGAAGGTCCTACATCATCTTAATAAGAAGACAATATGAGGAAAATACATTCAACTATAAAACTGAGGTGAATTACGTTGAAGGCCAGCTAATACACATAAGCTTTCTCCGAAGAAAATTAACTCGTCATCTCTCGTGGAAGCAGATTTGCTTAGCATTTAAAAGGCAGCAGAAATAATCAAGTTCGCTTATCCCTCCAAACTAAGTGAACACGAACCGATAATCAGTGACTTCATTGGGATAGATTAATAAACTTCTAGTGAAAAGCTAGATTAAATGAAAAAAAACCGAAAAAAAGGAACCTAATACATAAAAATTCAGAAAAAGTGATTAGATGCCTAAAGTTTAATGCTAGGAAGGGGTCAGGAATTTAATTGTGTTGAAATGTGAAACAGTAACAGTGTAATGTTAATTATGTGGTGATATGAAACCATAGAAACCGACTTAATGACACTGTCTAGTGGTGAAATGTAATAATGTAGAGGTATACAAGTATACCTAAGTTTGTCATACAAAACTCACCTGAATTTGACCTAGATTTTCACGATTCTCAATAGGAAATCGGCATTCAACTGGAAAATCATCAGGCAACTTAGCCATTGTATACACTGGTTCAATTGGAAAGGCTGCCGGCATATTGATAAGTAAAAATTCAACCGGTAAAGGACGAGCTACTCGTGTAACACGATTACCATATTTATCCTTTGTCTAAAGTAGATAGAAAGAGAAGGAAAAAGCTGTATAGAACTGAGTAATCTAAAGTCATTAGATGGAGAAAAAAACAATCGACAGATGAAATGTTATTAGATTTTGAGGTAGTATTCATCACGGATCGACATCAGTTGAAGAACCGTTGAAAACCCAGGAGAATTGGACACCTGCTGTGTCCTAGTATGGGACTTCTCAGCAATACGCACCCACAACCCGGCTGAGGATCGAACACAGGACCCTTAGGTTTGACAGCTAACGCGTTAAACATCCAACCACTAGGTTGAAACCGGATGGTCTACAGTTTCTTACTTCTGCCAATTCACCATATCTGCATCCGCTTCACATCCGACTGGTTGACCCAACAGGTCCGGGGGTCACATTAGAACTTCAGGATGTCACTAATGAGCACTATAAAGTAATGTATTTTGAAGTTAATGGGGATTTTAATTATTTTAGACTTTACAAAAAGATAAGTAAGGAATCTATTGGCTGTAATCAAAAAATAAAATGTATAAAAAAAACAGAGATAACTCAGCAACCATGTGCACATCCGTGTACTGGGCTACCATCCACGCTTATTATGAGTTGATGATACTAGGTGGCTGGTCAAACCTTATAGGTGTGGCAGGTTTCGCGTCAGTAATCCAATGGTCAACTGTCTAGACGTACGAGCTACAGCTCCGAAGAAGGCAGCATGTGGATAAAAGTAATGAAAACTTTTCAATAAACATCTCTCAACCTTCGTCTAACAATCAAGAAATAAAATATTTGTCTGTCTATCTCAACCGACATAAAACAATAACGACTCAATATAAATCAGATGACTGAGTCCACAAACGTCAGGTGTATAAAAAACACAAACAGATGCATCACAAACACTAAAATACAAGTTAGGCGAAATCTGATTACAATAGAGATATGATTCCATAGGTTGTGGCAATATCTAACTGAGGAATCCACTATAATTCTTATAACTAGTGTAATAAGAACAAGATGTAAGATGTCAAACTACTGTAATCTTGAAAGATTAGGGAAGACTAAGGTCGGAGACGGTGAAAACTATTAGCATCCAGCATAGATGTTTACAATTCTCATTCCTATTCAAATTGGTCTTAGATAATTTATTTCCCTAGAAATTTTCATGGACTGATCCTCTACCCGAAGAAATGTAAAATGATGCTTCAGAATTGATTTATATTGGCTTGTATCTTAAAGATGAGAAGTAGAGATATCGAACACGTTGATAACTATCTTACTAATCTAAGAATTTGCATCCAACCTGATGTGCTAATAATAAGAGAATTCTCAGTATGTATAGATAGCGCTGTGTTTACATCTAGTTAAAACTGAAAGATATGAAGAAGTCACAGATCATAATTTTCTGCTACATATCAATTCTTGTGAGTGGTGGTATTCGAGAATGAGTAAAGTTGACGTAAACTACTAAATTCTAGTAAAACATAGCAGGTCAATCATTTACATTGTGTAACTGAGTCGAGTGAAGTTCCTTTCTTATATATACTATTACTTGCCCTCACATAAGATTATGTGAAAGGAAAGTTAGGTGGAACCAAACATCTTACATTAACCTGCAAAGTAAATGAATCTTGTAGAACAGCAAGCCGCTTGACAAAAATGCCCAGGATATTGAGAATTACTAAACTGGAAAACCGGTAATATAGCTGAAAAATAACAATTCGACAGATATTTTGCAAACTAATGAACATATTGCTCATCATTTGGGCATTTTCTTCCTACTTATATCCTTCCATTTTCTAATCTCAATGTTTTTCAAAATTCTGCTGAATTTCCTTAATGAATTAATAGTTGGTTAATAACTTTTATCAACCTTGTTCAACAACTATATGAAGACGCTACATGCCAAGTACTTCACAATGGGAAGCCCAGTGATGCCTTTGAAGTGAAGACAGGAGTAAAACAAGGCTGTCTACCATCACCCACGATATTCCTGATTGTGGTAGACTGGATCACGCAGCAAACAGTGAGGAGCGAGAAGAGGGGATACACTGGACCGGGGAAAAGATCTTAGAAGATATGGATTTCGTCGATGACTTGTGCATGATGTCACACAAACTTGAAGATCTACAGTCAAAATCCAACAAGTTGACAGAAGAGGTGGGGCAGTGAAGACGGGACTTCAAGTGAACGTAGAGAAGACAGAGGTGATGATGATAACCAACCAACGCCACCACCACCAACAACAACAAACACCAATCACCATCAACGGGAGAAACTTAAAGAAAGTAGCCTCTTTCACTTATCTAGGACGCATCGTTTCAACTACAGGCTGCACAGACGAGGACATCAAAGACAAGACAGGCGTTCATCAACCTGAAACCAGTGTGGAGATTTTCTGCATTGAAAATGTGGAACAAGATCCGGATTTTCAACACTAATGTCAAGTCAGTGCTTCTATGTGATGGTTCAGAAACTTGGAGCGTTACGAAAGGGATTTCCAACAAATTACAGACATTCATCAACAGCTGCCGCATACGCTGAATCGATACTGAAGATGGGGATCAGATGGCCAGAATAATTAGAACAAGCAACAAGAAACTCTGGTTGACGACGAACCAACCAAGAACCGATCGCCCAACAAATATGCAGAAGAAAGTGGAGATGGATTGGACATACACTGAGAAGACTATTCGGGACAACACGTGCCAGGCCCTCGAGTGGAACCCCTATGGGAAACGGCGAGTTGGGCGTCCCAGCTGAGGGTGACATGGAGGAGGTCGTGTGGGGAAGAAATGAGAGCTTCTGGGGAGTCATGGAGTCAGGTTCAAAAGATTGCAGAGAACAGATTGCGCTGGAAACGTGCTACTGAAGCCCTATGTTCCACTAGGAGCCCAAGGGATAAATAATAATAATAATAATATGATACATTTGTCGCATACTTTGTACGATTCATTATTTATCTATTCATTGAGTCAGTAAAAAGTAAATAGTAATAAGTTTCAAGCAAAAAAGGTTAGTGGCAGCCAAAGCAGTAAGAAACAATGCATTATTAAATATATATAAGTATTATGTTTCACTCATTTGATAAAAGGGCTTTGATCAGGAGGACTCTATTATGTGTCACAGTATATCAATACACAACATTTAACTTTAAATACACTTTTAACACTGTACTAAACTATCTGTATAATTTATTATTGAGAAAATTACCGTGAACCAGACGTTTTCCAATCCCCTGAGAAGTTTCTATCAACCAAGAAATGTGGTATAGTATGCTACAACAACGTCTTAAGTGATATATTTTATTGGCTCAAATAGGCACCTATAAAAAATGTCGTTAACGTTGTACCTCAGTACACTTTATCGTATCAGATTTAAGAGTGGTAATAAGGAAATATTTTAAAACTGTCAAAATCTCTTTGCTTCCAGGTCATTTACAGTTTAACTGGTGGTTTTTCTTGGCTTGTATGCGGAATTGAATAAAACGTTTGATGATAACGTCCACCAGATTATAAAATACAGATATCAAACATTGGTGTGATTTTCGAACGCAACAACATGATGTCGAAAGTTTGGTTATATACCATACAACAGAATCTGTGAGATACATAAGACATGTTTGTTGTCAGTGAATAAAAATGAATCTCTTAAATGGATGCAAGAGTTATGCATCTCTGCACACTTCCATTATTCTTATTCAAGTTGCGCATAAGTAAGGATAAAATTTAAGGCTAACAACCAGTTAGCAGAGCGGTGATGAGACAACCGACTTGTTAGTCTACCTTGACCAACTGTTTGTTATTACGGAAGCGGTAAAGTTTGCGAATGAAATGCGATGAGTTTGAGCAAAATATGCCTGACAAACAAATGCAGGCGACTCCAATTTCATCCCTGTTGTCACTGACAAAACTCAGTGTTATACTGACTTGCTTTAAAAATACACAATTATAGAGGATTATAGCATGGCAATAAGTTTAACCAAATGAGAATAATGTATTTGAATATCCAAAGTGTTTAACGAAATTGATTTTAGTCCTTCAAGGTCAATTCGATATTTGGTTATTCTTAAGATATTCCATCTAGAATTGCTTCGTTATGAAGGTCAACTGTTCACAAAACACAACTTATCAGAAAAGGTTTCAGTAAGTACATACAACGGCTGAAGAAGACAGGTGACAAATAGATAGAGAGTAACAAATAACCACAATAAATCTACAGAAATCTAAACCTACGACTTGTCATCGAGTTCACACATTGCGTAATTCTATTGTGTTTACGTCATATATTAGTGTGTAAGTTGTAAGTTCTGCGTAAATCAAGTCAAGAATGTGATAGACAGTGCTATTCTGGACAAAATGAATGTCACGCGCACTCAGAGAGCACATCAGTCGTTTCACTTTCACCAGCTGTCCTTCTAAATGGTGGCGACCCCTCTAGAGCAAAGGCTGAACCCTCAATCTGAACGCCATTACTGAAATGATAAACAAATGATAACTGAAAACAAGTGTTCACAAAGCTCTGCAGACTTCATAAAAAGTTCATTATCTGTAGTGCACCAGTTTTATTTCATAATGTTTACTAATGGAGTATCATATATTCCTTGGTCATCAAAATCCAAATAAAAAAGGGGGAGATGAATACGACTTTTATGAGATATTTTTGTCCATTAAAAGTATTTTTGTATCAGCGGGGCAACAAATGATCACAGTTTCAGCCTGTTTGAAGTCGTTTACAAGAATCTAAATTTTATACGTTAGAATTTGATACTTAAAACACTATGGATACAATAAATTATCCTAAAGAATGATTGCGCTAAACTGCGAATTGACTGCAGTAGGAGAACGTGTGACAGGTTACGAACCAGTGACTGAAGCGTAACTTGTTTGTCGCAAGAACAGACCGGCCTTGGATTTCATCTCTTGACAGTCATAGGTGCGCACAGCTGAGTCCCACACCAGGACAAAGAAACTGTCCAGTGGCCTTAGGTTTTCAATGGCTCCACAATGTATTTCAGTTCACGATGAATGATATGTTGAAGTCAATCACCGCAAACCACCCATTGGACTACGGCTGTTTAATTGCCCGAGAAACTGTAGTATTTCATCGAAAATCACACTACTTACTTACATTAAGTAGTTAGAATATTTAACATAAATTTCTTGACCAGCTTTTCGACGTTATGATATACCAATATGACCCGCAGATCGTCAAATTTAGTGATTGTTGATGAGCAACATAATTGGTTTCGTCAGATATATAAGACATTAGCGAATAATAATGTGAAAGTAGCAGCTCAAACTTTACCTAGATTAAACACAGCCGATACTTTTCTTTATTAACTAATAGAATTCATAAAACAAGATTTTGCTCAGCATTCTTGTTTAACAAAATCTTATTACCGAGGTGATTCAAGGGAATTAAATAATCTGCACACAGTTTAATACGCGGAATCATTGAACACAGTCATATTTAAAGCATTTCTTTGAAACTGTACGCTAGGCACAGAATCTGTTCGAGACTGAAAACCTGGCTATGTGATGTTTAATTTGTATTACTTCTATCTTGACAGCCACAATTGATGCATATTAAGTACAATAGTGAAATAAAAGGATCCAAAGATAAAGGTTAAACGATTTTATGTATACGGAAATCATTACACTTAGATCAGCTTACCCAGCCAAAAACAGAAAATATTTGCAATGTCAACTTCAGAATCTATCTTCCACAAACAATTATCATAGATTATCGACTTTCTATAGGGTGTTACTGCATCTCTAAAGTTTGACCTTAAGTTTAGGCACTCGAAAATCACTGGTCTATGGTGAATGCAACAAATCATGTGGTTTGGTCAAACAGCAAAGAGCTCCGATAAAGGTTTTATCCTTGCTGACGACAAGGTTTGTCTACAATCTCAACGAAAATGACGCTCCATTGTAGATATGAGCCCAAGTCATCAGGTGCCGTGGTTAGAGACATTACCGCTGAGCTGCCTAGGGTTGCGACTACCCTTCGATATCACTGGGTAAGAAACACTAACTAATCACTGGCTGAGTAACCAGTATCGTGGCATATATATATATATATATATATATATATATATATATATATATATATATATATATTCCGCGGAGTCAAGATATGTGACGATCATCCAACACTTGTTTGTTGACAAATCTTTCTAGTTAGCTCTAACTACAGTTTTAAGTCTTAAAAATTCAACAGATCCTCTATATCGATCACCTATAGAAATTCAGGAGTAACTTGGCAGTTCACTTCAAATTATTGTGGTTGAATGTTACTGAATGAAACCAGTTTATCAAATTGAGAAAAAAACATACTGCATAGAACACTTCTGGGACAAATTGTTCCTTTGTAGTCTCTCGAATAAAACCCAATTCGGGTGCATCGTACGTCGGCACTAAGATTTTATCTCTTTCTAGTGCCATAGCTTGGTTACTGACTTGATATGCTTCAAAGTGAATATCATTTGATGCGTCACCAGTGACAACGACCGTTACAAATTTCGAGCCAAAACATCCATCAGGGCTAAGACGACATATATTCGGGTGAAGATTTTGAAAATGTGCAGCAGTTATACACTCCTCAGCACTTAAAAAGAAGGTATCCTATGAATGGGATAAAAGAAAAACAAAAGTGAACAAGACCATAGTTCTTACGAATGTCCTGGAAGAAGCCGTCAAGTATTGAGCACTATATTATATGAAAGAAAACCAAATGGGTATGCTAATCGATGGGAATTTAAAAATACAACAGAATTCGTTATTATATTAGTGAAGGAAATTTAAATAGGCTCCAAAGCGACTATTTGCTCCACAATACTTGTTTACCAGTTATAAATAAAATACAAAAAGCGTCACGTAACAATGAGCCACTGAAATGATAGGATCCTGTTATCTTGGTTTAATCATATCTGATCTAGAATGCTTCAGCGATTGAACATTTAAAAGTACTCCACTGTAGGAAATAAAACCTACTTAGACACGTACAAAAATGAATCAAATTTGTTACTTTATTAATCCAGTCAGATACTATCATACTCGAAAGATGTCTTTGATATAGGTTGATGTAAGCATCTTTTTTCTCATATAAAATATTCTGCCAGCTAAATAATAAGCCTATTTTTTTGTCTATCCTCTTCCTCAGATAACGTAAGCCACAATGGTTAGAAATGCTGATCACTATGGTAAAAACAACTCATAATGGTCCAAATTTAATAGAGCTGTAGACACATCATCTTTGGAAAAATTGCAACCCAGCTAATAGCTACTAACTACTTTTAATGTTACCTCTTCTCATTAAGCGACAAGACTTCGAGGAAAATAGGCAAACAATTATAATTTAACTCAACTAGTGGAGTAAAATGAGTGGATAAAAAGCTGAAGCTAAACAAGGTCAATGAAATCGATACAATATTATGTTCATATAGAATCATAATACAATACAACAGTATTGAACTTGGAATGAACACGAAAAAGTAAAAATGTCTTTTTTTGAAGACAATGAGAAAACTTCTCTAGGAAATTATAAAACGCACATTTCTATAATTACTTACCTACCCTGTAGTTTCACCATGCTACACTAAACTGATTGCAAGTAAAAATTTCCAAGTTTTTCAAAAAAACAAACAAACAACATAAATCAATTGTAAAACGTAAGTTAAACTCACAATAGTACCACGAAAATGTTTTACAACACCCTTGATATTGGAGTCTTGTGCTACTAAATCTGTGAAAATCCATCCAACTGGTTGTAGACCGAGAAGCTTAGCAACTTCCAGAACATGTTTTGGAAGAACACTATCGAGAGGACAAGTTAATTTGACTGACCTAGGTGTAGATTCCTACAAAAAAAACGCAACGAATCACATTATACTAGTGTAAAATTAAATGGGATATGTAATTGAGTGGATTGTAGACTAAGGTCTCAACTAAGGCATTATTAATTCGAAATACCTTCATACTTTGATCTTTCTAAGTAGGCAATGCTACTAGCCTAAGTACAACAGATATAATGGGCTACCTATTCAATGAATCTTTCCGTAGTTATGGAACAATAAAGTTATCAGTTGCGTGAAGCTTCATGTAAATTCTTGGATGAATTTAAAACTTAACACTTACAGATGTGGCTTTCACAGAACAAAATTAATGATATTATAGATTTTAATTTAAAAGAATAAGAGTAAGATTAGTATGAATGAGTGTAGCAACATAAGCAACAGTGATGAATATGCTGATTTTTGGTTTCTGAACCAGTGAAGTGACCAACTGAAAAGAAAGGTCCACCACACGATATAGAAGTTCTGAATTACATTTAAGAAACAATGAAAATGTGAACTGTCGACGAGATACAGCTTACTTTCACTATCTCTTCGTTTACAGTTATTTTCATTCTACATCATTACCTGATGGTAATAATCTTCTTCTTAGCTCATTACTAAAAAGCAAAACACTCCCACAAACACTTGCCGACAACTAATGTATTCCTTAGTGTGAACCTGTGATCTACGAGTTCAGACTTTGTAGATAGGGAACAGCTGCTTGATATCATCAAGCAGCTGAAGCTAGGAAACGTCATCTTTTGGGTTACAATCCAATGATCTTGAATAAAAAATAATATGATCACTGCTAAACCTAAAAGTTCTCATTTCTATTGCAAAGAAAACTTCTCAACCGAATTTATACAATTTTTTTGATGTCTCCTTTTTCAATACCAATGTGCAGTAAAAACAAACTACCATATACATTTCATTTTTAAAAATACACTTTTTCTTACTTGAGCTGGTTCATAAATTGCTGAGACCACAGCTTTGATCGCTAATGGTGGTGAACCAGGTGTATCGAAGTGAGTATACCGTCCAAGCATAATACCGATTCGCTGACAATTAGTTTGTCGCCAGAAGTCTAAAAATGAATCCATCAACTGAGGATTTTCAAATTGTACAAAATCCACATGACGATAAGGTTGGATTTCCAAAGTAACTGGATTCGGCTGACATTTTGTACAAATTCCATCAGGCCATGGAGGGTGATCTCGACAACCTAGACGTATGCTGCAGCTTAGATTCTCTAAGAATGCAAATTTGCCTCTGGAACAGATTTATCAAATACAATTCCATTTATTATTTTTTTTTTACCTCTAGTGATAGTAAGTAATTCACAAAGTAATTGATATTTTAGATTGCATATCAATGCTTATACATAATATGACGTCTCTATTTAAGAACTAATCATGACATAATTTTTCCCCATTTATGTTTACACAAGGTTCAATTTACAGTTCTCAGAAAAGGTGTAAGAACAGTTATGATGATAACTAATCGTCCATTACCGTACCGTCTAATAAGTAAGCTTAATCTTCGGCTTCAAATTGTCTAAAATTGCCGGTGAACATTCTCATGAGAATGCTATTCATTGATCAAGTTGGTGTGCGGTTTACAATATAATAATAATAATAATAATAATAATAATAATGATACTTAACAACAAATTTCAGGTTCATTAACTAGGCTACAAAATATATGTATCGAGGGATGATCAAGAGTACTATTGGGATATTGACACAACAATGAGTGGAATTCAATTCAAATTAATTAGTAGACAGATAATCGTCTTAAGCCAATGGTTCCATATTTCTAGAAAAAGATACTGGGACAGAAGATAATAATCATAATAATTGAAAGTTGTATAGTGTGTTAACTAAACTAACCTTGTCTGACCACCGGTCAATTTACGCACATATGCATGAAACGACATAAACTTCACTGGTGGATCTAAATGCTCTAAATAGGCAGAGTCGAAAGGCTACAATAGTAAAAGGAAAAAAGATATTCACAAAAATTAACAGTATCAACATAATATCAAAACAGTAGTAGTACATAATAGAATAGAAAACAATAGTATTATCGAGGACATTTTAATCAATGAATTATATATAAATGTATAGGCAGCTATAGTAATGCAAGTACTGACACATCTGTATAATAAAATGGAACAAAGCGACTGTAGTAAAGTTCAGTGTAGTTAAGTGCAAAGAGATTGATTACCAATTCTGTATCCATCAAATCAACACTTAAAACATGTAGCAGGAATGATGTCACACCTATACGCTAGATATGGAAAATTTTACTACCACTAAAAGCAAAACAACATGAGATGATAGAACTATAAAATTCAAATGTAAAAAGTTGTGATTACTTCAATATAATTGAGTAATAATTTACGCTTGAAACAATACTGTGTCACTGTGCGATATATCACATAAACAAACCTAATATGGTATAACCATTTTACCACTGTGCCCAAGTTTTACAATTGGTATGAAATTAAAACCACTTCATTGCTGATCATAAAGATTACAGAATAACTTTGTTGCTTATATCGAATAGCTTGAGAAATACAAATTGAGTGTGAGAAATAAAATACTCGCCGATTGTACTGATTGATGGGTTAGGCTGTATTGCCAATAAATAGAAATAAGAAAATATTGACCACCGGATTCCAGTCCAGTGACTGGATGATAATGTACACGCTAGGAGATATGATGGTCCGCGGACAGATTTTGTGCCAAACACAAATTCGTTCATACTTTTTCAGGAAATATCAAGAACAAAGTTTGACATGATATTATTCAATATGCATAAAGTTTATCAAAAAATTCTATTCTCAAAATCTAATGGAAGCTACTTCTTCGATGAGTAAAAATTGTACATCGTATCACACGTTTAAGTCGTAATAAAACAAATCAGATTATACTGTTTATGTACAAAAGAATTAAATAAGTTAGTATCATTAATTAGTAATCAATAAGTACGTACAAGGTGATCACAGTTGACACTGTACCCTAAATTATCACGCTTCTATGAATTAATGGAAGTTTATGAAGTCAATATATGCTTAGGGCATACAATAAACTTTACAAACTCTTGAATGTTCAAAATATCTTGGTAACTATACTGAAACTTTTGCAGTCCTCTATTACGAATTCAGTCAATGATTTTTATGATTATAAATCAATAATATCGGAATCAATATTATTATTATTATTATTAGTCCCTTGGGTTCCTAATGGAACATACGGCTTCAGTAGCACGTCTCCAGTGACCTCTGTTCTCTGAGTGATACCTTCTCATCTCTTTTGCAATCTGGGCTGCCTTACTGGGTTCAAACATCGTGCGGACATTCCATGTCCCCATGTTTACTTTCGCCTTGATCGAGAGAAGAGAAGACACATCGGCCAATTGGCTTCCCGAAGGCTTTCACTAACTGGCGTCATTTCGCCTCTCCGATTCCAGCGAGGAGTAATTTTGTTTGTGCTTTGAAGTTTGTTTAGCGGTTAGATTTGTTTTATGGGGTAGGGTTGCTAGCCCTATGCCCAACCTTCCCTCTTTACCCGGGTTTAGGACCGGCTAGTAACTAGTGAACTAGTTAACCAGGCGAGGAATCAATAACTGCACAGAATGAAATAGTTGTAAGTCATGCATGATATTGTATAGTTACATACTACTATTGCAATTATAAGTTGTCTACACATTATAAATGACTAATTAGACGATTATCATACTATGGAGTACATCTCTTTTAAGTTACAACTGAAACTATTTTAAACTTCAGTTTATTCTTCATTAGCTGAAAACTATTTCAACAGACTAATGAAATAGCAATAATTTCATTGATATCACTTATCACTTCAAGCTTACATTTTTATATTAAATCTATGAATTTTAACCAAATATTTAATTCAGATATCTTAATATAAACAGATCGTCACTGTGAACATTTGCTTCTTGTATATAAAAAATTGATATATAAAAAAGTGAATTGAAAGTGATGAATTATTATTCTTAAATTTAGCTTCAATATATTTAAGAGAAAATCCTAGATGATTAACTCTATTGATAAAACATTTAAACGTGTATCTTGATTCCAATTTGGTACATTCATTGCCTCACAATGTTTCACTTGATAGCAATTTACCTAACACGGTGACAGACCTCGTTATAAACGACGAAATGAAGAAAGTAATTGATAAAGTATCATAAGTGTTTTGTATTTTTATAAACATTCATAGAAAATTGTTCGCAAGATGCATAGAATTAAAAGAAAAATTAAATGATTCCCCTTAGATTATTATTACAGTAAATATATTTTCCTCCAGGTTATGAGGTAAAGAATTACTGTCTTCATAAAATATCAAATTGAAAAAAGAAGTGTAACACAGAAATCAGGCGCAGTTTCATACACTAGGACACATTCATAACTATAGTATGAAGGTCAACTTTACAAACCTTAACAAATGGAGTGGAATTTGAACTCGTGACCAGTTGATCAAAAGTTAACTGCCTAAACAAATGAACCAGTTTCACTGAATTAGAGCCAACTAAAAAACAACTAACACTCTTAGAGGTGACTTAGAATATAATTGAACTCGACGAAGGATTTCGTTTACTGATTGGGCATAGTCGATTATGATGCACATTACATTTAAGAACGATGTTTAAAAACTTTCATCTATGACTTCGAAGGTAACTCTAACGGCTATTCAGATAACCGAGACGGTTTAGTTATTTCACGATAAACCATCTTCTTAGCTAAATAATGAAACGTATTTGCTGACTTCAGCAGTTGCTTAAACTATACATGATGACTTCCGAATAATCTTGTTACACCGGAGAGTTTCTAAATAAAACCTGAAACACTGGTTCATGCCATTTCTGAGTTATGCAATCAGTTAATAAATTTAGTCTAGCCAGTGGTTATCATTCAGTTATACTGTAGCATTACGATTTATTATTTGATCAGAATCTCAACAGTATTCAGTTACTTACTATTAATGAAACTACGAAAGTCATGATTTCGCAGATTGATGTCATAGATATTGAGTGGTAATCGAAGCTGAAATGAAGACCTGAGTCACGGGAAGATTTGAACTAAAGGTCTCCGGATTACCGGTTGAATGCTGCATCAAATGATCTACAACATAGAGATGTTAACCAGGTGTTAGCTCCACTTACATCACCAAGGGTTTTGCCTGTTTGCTATACGAATCCTTGATAAATAACTGTCCGGTCGTCGTGAACACAGTGCCTGCTTAGTCATGCCTTTTTATCCAAATCTAGTTGAATTACAGAGGATAAACTTCATACTAACTATTAATAAGACCATTTGAGATAGTCGTATTTTGGTAGAATACTGGACAATAGTTGATTTCAAGTTAGCTTTCCCATTACAGTACACGTTGTTTGGAACAAAACTATGATTTAACGGAAGCATAATTGACATGGAAAATTTCCTATACTGTCAAGAATGAACGGATGACGAATATCTTCTGACTCCTGCCTTTGACAAAAAAGTGCTTTGACAACCTATCTTAAATCAACTGAACTGCAAAACTCATGAATATCTGATCTCATCTGTTAATTGCACTGAAACAGATGAGTAGTGAGTTCTAAGATCAGATGGACAGCCGTTCATTCTCTAGCTTTTTATTGGTAAATAGGATTTCTTTGAACTACGTGACTGAAATTATTCTAAATACTGACACTTTATTGAATTCCCGGTTTACAAAGAAGCCTAAACAACAACTGTTCAGTTATAAAGAATTAAAAGGTGAGTGAGGGGACTGACCAATCAATGAAAATACAATACATGATCAGCTTACTTCAAGGGGGACACAGTGGATACATTGTCCGGATAAAGTATGACGACACCTGAAGGGAAAAGTGGTTCAAGAAATAACTCAATACACAAAAAAGAACAAGTTCTTTTGAAGAGACTGTTTACGATAAGGCAATTGAATATGTCTAAAAATCACATGAAAACGCCAAAAAGATAAACACGATTGGACGCTCTACTCTAAGTATACGGTCACTATATGTTGGAAAATCATTTCGTATTGTAAAACCTTATTTTACCTATATATTCAAGCAGTACTGAAACACGACATAAAATATACGTTTGTTGACCCAATTCAGTCATTTCATTATGTCGATGGGGAAATCATGTGGTAATATCTCTTAGTGAATCGAATTTCTAGGATGTATATTGGATTATTAAGGTTTTTGGCTCGCACTCTCGGCAATTTCAGAACTTATGATAGTTGCATAGTTAGTCAAGCCGTATCATAACTTTTATTTAACTCTATCATAAAAATTCCTCCAGAGGTTTGAATTTCCTTTATTTTTCACCTATTAGAAATTGAACACATTATCAGAGATGATTACCAAAAAGCACAAAATAATCCTATTATTTGAAGCGGATAATAAAATATAGTTTTGTATAGAACCCGAGTGATAGTGTGAGCTTGTCTACGATGCATTTCTAACCTCTAAAACCCAAAGTTTTACTACATGAATGATTTGTACCGATGCGCAGTTTGAAAATTGGAAGTGGATTATTTGAGCACCTTATCTACTACTATGATTCAGGATTATGTACTCAATGAAAAAAGGTTTGATACACTTAAATGGATATATGATAATATCAGAACCTTGTGTTTTTGAATCCCAACTCAGTTACTAGAAAGAAGATAGAACTACTACAATTTGAAAGCGTTTAAAACCGCTTAAAAGTGATAACGCAAAGGATAAAACTCCTGGGTATACGATTTTTGCCGATGACCTTACCATGTAAGCCATTCAGTAAGAGTTTTGGAATTCAAATTTGAATTTCCACAGGTAAATGAAAATTTTAAAACAGCTTGATTAGAAACATTTAGTTTCCCAGTTTTTCAGTATAGTATTTTTGAGTAACCTTCATATTTCCTAGCAGCTATTTCACTTTCAAAGTAGTAGCATCAACTTAGGTGGACTGTTATGTGATAAGAACTGGAAAATATACAAAATGTGTATCAGTCTTTTGTCAAATTAAGCTAATTATAGCACATATAAGACATCATTATCTATTAACAGCCAAATGTACCGTGCAGTATAACGCTCATTCTCTGTGGATGCGAAACAGTCACTGAAGGCGGATGATATGAGATGGTTGGAAGTACCCAACCAAAGATATCATAAAATATATCTACTGAGTGAAGAAACTATTAATTAATGCTGATTTTAAGTATGAAGTTATAGGGAAGTTTGATACGTCGGTAAACAAATATGTGGGTCCTCACTAACTTCCGCTGACGGGAAGTGGCAGGCATATTTTTAGTTGTCCACCAACTTAAAGCGTTACACTAACTGCAGTAGGAGTAAGTCTGAGAAGACTTTAAACAGGATGAACATGCTGCAAATCCATGGATTCCCTGATTATTAATCTGAGCCTTCTGAAAAGATGTAAGCTTTACATGTAAGGTCAGCAAAGTACCCAACACACTATTTTCTAATCAACTCAGATTTACGTGATATACAAAAATATTTTTAACTGTTTTATCTGCATAAATATAATCATGCAAAAATGCAAACATCAACGTATAACGTCGTGCATCATTACAATTTGTCACTACTCACCAAACCACAAACAGAATTTAAACAAAAATAAAGTGATGCAAAAGTAAACAAAGGGGATATGAGAACGGAGAACAAATGAATCAAAAGTGACAGATAGGTTTAAGTTTTCAAAGATCCTAGAGAGTGGGCATATTATGATGCTGAACCAATTCACTCCCGGTCTCCAACCATTGACTCCTGATATCTCGAGCAGCAAGCTAGTCCGGCAACCTACGCTTCCATACACTTCTCAAATCATGAGTCAGGACATCTACGGATCGGTTCTGTCTTGGCCTGGGTATTCTTGACCTTTTTCCAATCTAATCTAAATTCAGCTAATGTTTGGACTTATGAAACAAGGTATTTCGGCATGCACAACACACGTCCTAATAATCTAATTCAGTGGCTAGCAACCGACTTAGATACTTCGTTTAGCAATCTATGCTTAACATCAACATTGCACTACCTGAAGACATACAAACCTAAAATCCACACATGCCACTCATCTTCACTGATACAGATAGTAATAACTGCACAAACCTTTGCATGTGCAGTAAGTTACTTATTTACATGACAGGCTAATCAAAACATCAAGGAAGTTACTGCCGTCTGTTATTCAACCACACACTTTAGGAATGATCGAAGTCAACACCAAAACTTTCGGAAATGTTGTCAGTATAGTTTCTGTTAAATATGGAATTTGCACCTAACAAAACCTTCCTCCTAGGACAACTGGTCGATGATAGTAATTTGTATAACATAGGTAGAAGCACTTGGTGGTAAAACTGATGTCCCTCTTTCTGACAACTATAAGAACTAACCAGTATAGTGACTATGAAATTTGACAATGGTTAGTTTTAGAAAACGTTGGACTGACAGTAAGTTTGTATGCTTAGAATGTAACAAATACCACGACAACTGAATAGTATTGTTTGAGATATCAATTTACGAGTTCTAGTGTCAGCATCCAGGCCAAAATATAAACAGTGAACAAGTAACACATCCCTTTAAGTATTGATTGGACAAGTTAAAAAAGCAAAAGATAAAACTCACAACTGCTCATTTCTTTTTCGGTGAATTCGGCCATCCATTTTTGCCATTTCTTGATCGACCTTATCCTCTGATGGTCCGCTAGAAGACCAATTACGACTGCCTTGAGAGTTGAAATCATTCTGCTACATTGTTGAGATTTTGAATGAAAGTGTAAATAAACTTATTTTAGTAATTTATACGCTTATTCTGACCGACAGACAATCAACGCAGAACATCGCACGTAGGTTCATCTGTTCAGGTTACCACGCATCGAATTGATATGAAAAGTAAAAGAGTGGGAAAAGCGTGATTCAGCAATTTCTCACCTCCCTCCTTGAAAACTTGTGGTGGCAAACTGTCAGTCCTCGTTGTTTTTTATCGTTTCAGGTTTGAAAGAGATTTTTTTAACTTTGATAAGAGTTGGAGAACTGATATCTGCATTCCGTTTCAGTTCAGGTCGGATATTGGACAGCTGAAGCATGATTACAGGCTAGGGAAACAGTCCCTAAGTATCCTGCTTAGCGTTACAACTACCTGTCCTGTGAGGTTATCAGGAACCCATCGTTTTCAGTGACAGTCTTATCAACCATCTTTTTCATACCTTTCCAATAAGCTCAAACTGCTGATTATAACTTATAGCTGATGTCTCTGCCGTCTCTTTCCTTTCACCTACCACCTCTACTCACGGTCATTACAAGAACTCAATCAGTAAACGTTCAAATCGCCTTCGTTTCGCGTACAGGTGAGTTGCTACCACGCTTAGGCAAGTGTCTAACGTAGCTTTTGCTAAATACATATTTATTTTCACCTTTTAGCCGGGTACACAAAAGTTTCCCTATTGTTTGTCTGATGTATTTATTAAGGAGCCAATACATGTACTCAGACTAGTGTGTGGTTGGGCTTCATGTAGGTACTCCAAAAAGAGTAGCATCCTATAAAGATGGCCTGTAGTGATATAATGTGTTTGTTGCGGCCAAACGCCGGGTGAATATTCTCCTTAAACTTGAAGTCAGTTCCAGTCACAAGCAAATGATTGACAGAACGAAACTGGAGGAGGACCACCATTTTTTATTTGTCGGCATGGAATTTCATAAGTACCCCAAACATGTATTTCCAAGTGACTGCTTTGACAGAACAAGTCGACTGAACGATTAACCAAAAGACACTTTTCGTTTCTACAAAGTTAACGTTTAGAAAAATCTTGTTTAGATTATTATATCAAAGCTCACATTCATTATGAGTTGACTTGATAGCTGCCTCATATAAAAGATTCATAATAAATAAGGATTTGAACACTAAGACTATAAAATCAAGCAAGTGCTAAGCTACGAGCACACAACAAGTAAGATGATGGCCTCGTTCCCCAAGACATTACAACTAACCGAGTATTTGCGTAATTCAATCTTGAGGAATAAAGCTGATGAACTTAATACTCGTGTTTCAAATATGACTTCTGAATTGAAACTTCTGAAGAGTTGTGTAAACATTTCAACCTTTAAATAGGTCAAATAAAGAGATCTACAAATCGCCATTTATCAATGTGATTTTTGAAAACACTTGCTATTATTAGTAATGATGGGTCATCATTACTAAACATAGTTAAAAGACAGGCAATATCGAGGCATCCGCATAGGAGCCCATATGCCAACAGAGACTGATCAATTCGGTCCAATCAACGACGGTGTAATACAAGCAATAACACTACACTTGCTATTACTTGTGACGCAAGGCCTTATTTACAACTTACTTTCCTGCAGCATAAGGTCCCACCAACAGAGTTCTGGCATAAACCTAATGATAGCAATATACTAAGACACCACTAAGCTTAAGACGACCTGCTCACTATTTCTGCGAATAGTTATGCAAACCTGAAGTATTTCCGCTTTCCCTGTTGAATGGTATGCTCAGTGCATGAGTTTGAAGATCATTTGTAATAAGAAATTGAATCACAAATATCTTGTATAAGAGATTGCTTGAGTTCCTGCAAAGATACCTGTAGTCTTTTGAATTCTCTCGGCAAAGCTTCCAAAACTGAACTATGAATAGGTAATATCTGAACATCTCGACTGGTGAAACAAAGTACATTTACCAAGACTCGGTGTAGAGAAGTAGCCGTGACTAGAGTTCTCGAATCTTTGTACAGAAGCACTGACGACACCTGCTTACACAATGGTGCATAGTTCTATTACATTTTTGACGGATAGTGAGTGATGAAATAAGCCTGCTATTTCAAATACCTGTTATCGAATATAAGTCGTATACAGGTTCAGACAGATGATATACTACTAACAGATCAGAGTGAGTATCCAGTAGAATCGAAATGTACTAAGTAAGCATGCGCACTTTTGTGCAGAAGACAATGAGCCACATCTGTGTGAGGGTTAATGGTACTACCTGGCTACCTGGGCCTCAGTAGGCAGAGTAGAGCTAAAACGCAAAACCTAATAGTCAAAAGTCAGGAACTTCAAAATACAAGCCACAGCTCAATTCAGGAAATAATGTGAATACATTGTCAAGAAGGAGGGTATTATTACACGAGTTGGATAACTACACACGTAAAACTTTTAAACATATGTTACTTCTAAGCTCATAGAGTTTGAAGCGCTAGTCACAATAAAGTGCAGTTTCATGCATTGTCATCCTATAAGAGACGTGTTGTACTTTTTATTTATGTCAGACTCAAAACTTTCTTTATTCTAGGTTGTCCAGGTATTTTTCCAATAGAACCTTAACTAGTTTACTAGTTCACTAAACGGTCCTAAGCCCGGATAAAGAAGGGGGTTAGGGCGCAGCGCCAGCAACCCAACCCCGGGAAGCCAATCTAATCGCTAATGAAACTTCAAGTACAGAGTAAACATAAAAATAAACTAATCCCTCGCTGGAATCAGGGAGATGAAAGGATGCCGGTTAGTGAAAGCCTTCGAGAAGCCAATTGGCCGATGTGTCTTCTCTTCTCTCTATGAACGCAAAAGTAAGCACGGGGACGTGGCATGTCTGCACCATGTATGAACCTACCAAGGCTGTCCACATTGCAAAAGAGATGGGGAGGTATGGTATGGAAGTGCTTGGAATTTGCGAAAGCAGATGGAATGAAAGTGAACTCTCCAAACTGTCAACTGGAGAGTTAATAATCTATTCCGATAGTCACCCACACGACAACCACGAGCACACTGAGTTTTCGAGTGGCTATCATGATGTCTCCAAAACCATTGGAAGCTCTCTCTCATGCAGTGGGAACCAATCTCCTCCTGCGGGATCGTGACAGAAAGATTTAAATCAAAAGGAAGGAAAGTCACAATCGTACAATGCTATCCTATGCACCTACAAATGATGCAGATCAAGAGAAGAAGGAGGAATTCTACAGACAACTGCAATCAGTACTAGACAAGACTCCAGTCGGTGACATTAAAACTCTAACGGGCGACATGAATGCCAAAGTGGGAGCGGACAACACAGGAAGGGAACTCATCATGGGTCGAGAGGCACTCGGTGAAATAATGGATGAGAATGGACAACTGTTTGCAGACGTCTGTGCATTCAAAGATTTGGTAACTGGAGGTAGTATGTACAAACACAAGGGTATTCACAAAACAATGTGGATTTCACCAGATAGACACACGAAGAGTCAGACCGACTTCATCTCAATGTGAAGAAAGTGGAGACGCAGCCAGCTGGACACAAGATCAATAAGGGGAGCAGACGTAGGTTCAGACCATCTGACTATCTAGTGCAGGGAACCTGCCTTCAAAATCAAACTGAAAGCCTTCAAAGAAGCTGGTGATAGACCATAGTTCAAGTTCAACACTCAGAATAGAAACCGAAGGATGGAACTAAAAAGGACATCTTCACATCAGTCATCAGGAAAAAATCGAGGACATTAACCGTTTTAGAAGAAAGAAGAAGCAAGACAAGGACTGGAATGGATCTCGACAGACACACTGAAGCTGATGGAGGAGGGAGAGGAAGATGGTGAAGCAGAAGATGAACCAATGCAGTGCAGGGATGAACAACGAAAAGAATGACTGAACACAACATATAAACCATTACACTGGACAAAGAAGTGCAGAAGCGTGCGTGCAAAGACAAATCACACTTCCATGACACACTTGCAAGTGAAGCAGAACAGGTTGTAGGTGGGAGGGATCTGACAACACTATATCAAACAGCCAGGTCACTATCTGGGAGGGAAGAGATCAACACAGATGAAACCAAGGAAAGATAGTGAAGGAAATGTAGCTACCAAAGCGGAGAAACAAAGGAAACAGTGGGGTGACCACTTCAAATAACTCTTGAATCGACCACCACCACCTGCAACTCGTCCAGGAACACTATCAGCAGCCCAGCCACAGAACTATTGGTGAACACAAGCCTTCGACGAAAGCAGAAGTGAAGTCCTGAACGTCAGAACGTTGCTGAAAACCGGAAAGCAACAGGAGCAGATGGAACTCCCCAGAAGCACTGAAAACAGACGTAGAGGCTCACACCACTATTGCAGAAGGTTTGAAAGGGAGATGGTAAGGAAAGGTACCTGTCGATTGATTGGAAGGGCTACCTTGTCAAACTCGCAAAGAAGAGTGGGCGACCTAAGTCTTTACAAGAAGTGGCGCGGTATTATGTTCCACCCTTGTTGACTCCAAGGAAAATATTAAGCGGTATCGTCCTGGAGAGACTAAACAGAAAATGCTCTGGATCAATAATCACGAACTGAACGGGCTGGCTGGCTTCAGGAAGAACCAATCATGTGCCAATTACATTGTAACGCTACGCATCATCAAAGAACAGAGCATAGAATAGCAGTCAGCTCTTCGCCTCAAATTTATCGACGTTGAAATGTCCTTTGACAGCGTCGAACGAGAAGTAATTTGGCAGTTGCTTCAACACTACGGTTTTGGTGCCACAAATCTTTACCAACCTCATTCAACAGCTATGTGACGACGCCACATGCCAAGTGATCCACAATGGAGGGCTGTGATGCATTTGAGGTGAAGACAAAAGTAAGACAAGGTTGCCTACTATCGTCAATCACCTTCCTGATTGTGGTCGACTCGACTGGACTGGATTGTGCAACAAACTGTGAGGAGCGAGAAGAGGGGCATATGCTGGCTGGACCGATGAAAAGACCCCAGAAGATTTGGATTTCGCCGATGATGATTTGTGTCTAATGTCCCATAAGCTAGAAGATTTACAGGTGAAAGTTAGCAAGTTGGCAGAAAAGGCGAGGTAGCGAAAATGGGACTACAGGTGAACGTAGAGAAGACGGAGGTGATGAAGATACCGGACCAACAGCAACAACAAGCAGAAACAAGGAGAAATCCAAGGGAAGTTGCCTCTTCCACCTACCCGGGCAGCATCGTCTCAACTACAGGTGGCACAGATGAGGACATCAAAGCGAGGATCGGGAAAGCAAGACAGGCCTTCATTAACTTGAAATCAGTGTGGAGATCTACTACACTGCACTTCACTCAGCATAAAGCGTGAACAACATCCGGATTTTCAACGCTAATGTCAAGTCAGTGATTCCATATGGTTGGGAGACTCGGCGCGTTACGAAAAGCATTTCCAATAAAGTAGATATACATGGACAGCTGCCGCCTACGCTCAGTCGATACTGAAGATGGAGATCAGATGGCCAGAATAATAAGAATAAGCAACAAGGAACTCTGGCTGGCTGGCAACGAGCCAATCAAGAACCTATAGCCCAACAAATATGCAGAAGAAACTGGAGATGGATTGGACACAGACTGATACCGTTTGGGAACACTACATGGCAGGCCAGGACATCGAGTGAAACCCAAAGGGGAAAAGAAGAGTTGGGCATCCTAGCCGAAGGTGACATGGATGAGATGGTATGAGGAAGAAATGACAGCTTCTGGGCAGTCGTGGGGCCAGGTTGAAATGACTGAAGAGAAGAGAGTGAAATGGTGACGTGCTACTAAAGCTCTGATTCACTAGGAACCTAAAGGATAGATAATAATAACAATTTTTTCTAAAAGATGGGAAAACCTAGGTCTGTTCATCACTGAATTCAGGTTTGATATATGGGATGAAAATAGGAACGATAATGTGACGGTGATGGCTTTCATACGTTAACAAGAAAGGTGACCAAGCACAATTTAGGGAAGCTAGATGAGTTGTGTAACATTATTACTACTAGAACACAAACGTGGTACAGCAAGAGCACCAAGAAATATGCCACACAAAATAATATAACAACATTACGAAGATATAAAGCGAAGGGTAGTGGAAAAAAATGAAACACAACAAGAATAGAATGATTAGAAGGGCAATCCAGTAAGGTATATTTGAAACAAAGCATTCTTTACTTTTCAGCAACAGCTAGGAGGAAGCTACAGCATGATTGCCACTGGTTTCAATTCTGAGCCGTATCTGATAATGTCTCAAGCGACCGAGTTGTGTGGTCTCAGACCCCACCCAGGGAGTCGCGATGCACTAACAGATGTCACCACAATACAACTATCCTTCAACCCACATCATGATGATGATGATGTCATACACTGACCACCACTCCATTTCTCCCATCCAGTCCCAGGGTTAGCAAACAATGAACAGCGTGGAAGCTATTGGGACGACATGTGTAACACATGTTCAAGCCACCGAAGCCGGTGTTTCAGATGACTTCACCCATTGAATGACAATCTCCATTATGTCCAAACATGCTGTCGTACCTCAGGATTACTTACATGGTGTTACCACTGGGTACGAATAACCCTACAGAGACAACGACGATCGAACACAGAGTCGTCGCATTTCTTCAGCTTGGAGACCAGGTTCCACAGGCGTATAGCAGAACTGCTCGCACCGAAGTGTTGAAAAACCCGATTTTTTACGGTCAGACTAACGTAACGGCGCTATAGGTACCCCAGACTAACGTATGCCACTCTGGCTTTTAATAAGCGGTTGGAAATTTGTGTAACTGTAACTTATAGAACTATTCGTAAAGCACACAATCACGTAGATAATCAAATACGTAAAACTGTGCGGTATGCGATCCATAGCATTACGACTAAGGTTTACTGCCCCCACCTTTTTGTTAAGATCTGGATTATGTAGGAAGTACTAGAGGTTACGTGGACGGACTATAACAGCTTAGAAGCATACTATTCATAATATTTCTATATAGCATCCAAAACAATGCAGTCATTAAAAAAAAATAACTAAACTAGCAAACTATTAGTAAACTGATCTTTTAACAACAAACGCGCATTTCGGACACATTTAATTGTGAGTAAACACACTACGTAACACAATACTAGCTGTTTAAAGAATATTAAAGCAATTGTATTTCCGAACAGCTCAAAAAGCCAGTCGTTTGAGAGTGGTGATAGAAAATGTTACAAATCACAAAAACAATGCAGGAAGCCAGTGAAACTAAAGAATTTTCCCGTCTTTGAGCTGCTGACGCGTCGACTTCAAAATACCTTCCGTATTTTCAAGCCAACAAGGATCTTAGTCGGATTATTATTTACCGATACATCCGCCGAAACTGAAAGGAAGTATTTCGCATTTGAAAGTCTCACGTTACCTAATTCTGCGAGGCTTTCTGTATGCCTTTTTTAAAGTTGATGAAATCATAGCAATAACCTCGTTACACTGTCTTATAACTAGGCTTCACAAAAAAATATTCATTACAACTATATTTTCAATTAGCGTAGGTGCTGATTATTATTTCATCACTTAATCTTTAGGTCTTATATTTTGAAAGATACGCAATTGAAACTAGCATTCATCTTTGCGACTACGGTTCCGGATTTTACTTCCCAAATTCTCGCTCGTAAATGGCATCGAATATTTGTGAATATGATTGTAAAGCCGTTAGACTTCCCACTTCTTAATCTTGGAAACCATACTCCTGAACAAATCCTGAATTATTTATCCGCAACGAGAAAAAAGTCTGTGCTACTTTTGTACCCACCAGAAATCAGCTGGTAGACCACTCGTTCCTGATTCATCACTCCAAGGGAGGCATAATTCCAGTTCTACCCATGAGACCCACAGGTGAATTTGAATTTAGTATTCTTAAGCCAACAGCAACAATAAGTTTTACATACTACTCCCAATAATTCTTTCTAAAAGTGTACTAATATGAACTCCATGAAGTTCAGACTATGTAGGTAAACCCAAGTTGTAATCACTAGCTGACACACAAATCAAAACATCCACTTGTGCTCAGACTGCTGAAAGCTTAGTGAACTATGTGTTTTGTTTGACGCAAATGATACAGATGTAGAAACCAAGAGAGAATCATCTTGTGATTAAGACAAAAATCTGAAGGAACCTATTACTTTCCTGTTACAGTATGCACAGGAAATACGTTAATTTACCGCAGAAATAGAGAAACTACCTATAAATGATAGAACTAACACGATTTTAAGAGAAACAATCAAGTAATCCTGAGAGGCACTGAAAAAACCCACTAGATACTTACCATACTCGTTTTGTTATCACCAACATGACCATCCTTAGTAACTCCATCTACATGGTTTTTGATGTGATCCAGAAGAAAAAGAAGGTCACCATGCCTAAATAGAAGCAATCTTTTTTACCTATAAGCACTACTTTAGACCTGTTTTTGAAATGGTTGTATTCTGTTTGCAGCTAAGACGTTCTGTTTGGTCGTGGGAACGGGAAAGACACCAGCCATCATCTCTGCTGATACAGAATTGCTCACAAACTAGGTTTAAAAGCTTTTCATAGGTCTCAGACTCTGATAACTCTATCCTCTTTGTACCATTTGGTGACTGAACACGAATAATCATTGGAGTCGAAGTGCCGCAAATAAATTTGACTCACTAAAACCAACACAGAACAACTTTGTAAATAACTACGGGAATTAACTTAGGTACCTGTTCACCCTACTCAAAATCAAATTTTCGCTCTTGGTTTTTTGGAACGCTTATCTCAATGGTCAGTTTCTTACTGTTCAGAGTTGCTTCTATAATTCGTGCCTGTCCGATGTGCTTCACTAACTAAAAACTACGTATCAGCATCAACATCATTGAAGCGAGTGTAGGAAGCTAATAACTTCTGATCTCTCACTTCTAGTTCCAATATCCAATATCTTTTTAACAAGCTTGTGTAAACCAGTTGATTTCTTCTCGCTGGCTTCTTGGTCTTTTGGAACGGTTCCAGGTCTTTGGCGGATTCCGATGCAGTAGGTCCAGCCACTCGTCTGCTATAGCTCTGCTTTGCAGAACAGGAAGTTAAGTGTTGGTTTGTTTGCCCTGGACTGTGGTGCAGTTGGCTTCTTCAGATGTCGAGTTGCCAGACAGTTGTTAGGACTGGTCGCAAGAGGGGGTTGGGGATAGTGAAGAGAAAACCTAGAAAGTGTTTGTGTGAGTAAAAGAAGAGAGGAAAAGTGAACTAATGGAGTAATCTACTTACACTCAAGTAAGGTGAGGATGAGTCCAAAGGTATGAAGAACTTAGGTAAGTGAGGCTAACTCATGGCAAGTGGAAGAGGTGAAAAGGGCTTAAATGGTTACAATAGAAAGAAAACTGGTTGTAAAGTCAAAATAGTTTGGGTGGCTAGACATCACTTCGTGTTCCAGCTATATGTGAGTAGACCGTGGGTCTCTGCATGACTGTCCAATATCTCCTTGAAACTTTCAGTAGTTGGGGCGGAGACCACCTTAGCTGGTAGTGGGTTCCAGTGCCCGCAGACTCGGAGGGAGAAGAACTGTGAACGCATATGCGTTTTTGACCTCTGGTGTGCTATTCTATTGGGGTTTCCTCGAGGATCTCTGTAGCGTCACACACTTCCCCAAAATCAATAGCCTAGGGTTTGACGACTTTCGACATTGATGCTGACCTTGATAGTTTAACTGGACTCGCTAAGCTGAAGGCACCCGGTCAAGCATCCTCGCCATTTGGCACGCTGTCGTGTTACGTTGCATTGCTCGTATTCGACTCTCTAGCCAGTTAGTTGGAACGCATCGGTATTTTGGCATAACCATCCAAATATACTATTCCATCCGACTACGCTATCGTGTTCTTCCTTGGTCTCGTATTCGTGGGTATATAACAAGTTCGAATAATTAGTGATTGGTCTTTGCGTCTGTCAAGTTCGCACCAGGACAAATCCTAAATTGGTGAGCCCGACGTGATCAAATATCCCGACGTGATCACATATCCCGACCAATAACAAGTATTGAATTGGTGAGCCTGTTCCATTTTATATTTGTTTATTGTTTTCATTTCGATAACATTTATATATCCATTTACTACACTTTCTCATGTCCGACCACACTCCCAAGCTTATTCGTATTAAGCCGACTCGAACACGATCCAACTCGTGCCATATTGGCCAGACAATGCAGAAACATGGTTTCTGTATGCCGAGGCCGATTTTCGAGAACAGGGTGTCTCAGATCCTCATCTCGATTTCTTGCTGTCATACGTTCACTACCGCGAGAATTAAACAGGTATGTTACAGCAAACATGTTTAATCCTGAAGTAAGTGACCCTTATGCACTTCTAAAGGCCGCACTCTTGAAGAAAAGCGATCTCACAGATCGCCAACGTCTAGACGAATTGCTTCGTAACATCGAGCTAGGCAGCCACTCAGCTACTGAAGTCCTCGCACGCATGCGAGAAGTAATCGGTGCACGAACATTTGACGATGGTTTCTTCCGAGAACTATTTCTCTCGAAACTACCACAACCGGTGCAAACCGTGTTGGTGACACTCCAGTCAGTCCCACTCGACGACCTGGCAGCCTCAGCAGATAAAATACTGGAGATATCCAGCAGACCCGTCTCCAACGTATATTCTATCTGCGACAAAACAGAGCGCCAGGATTCGGAGGTGACCAAGTTGTGCAACTCTGTGAAACGGTTGCTACGATCTCGAAGTCCTAGATCACGTAGCACTTCACAGAAACGCACCTTGGCGCATCGCAGCAAGTCGCGTGGTAGCCCTAAAACGAAACCCAACAGGGTGGAAAACCCTGAATGGTGCTGGTTTCATAACACTTACGGGGATGAAGCCAGAAAATGTCGTAAACCATGCCGTTTTAAGAAGGACCCAAACTCGGGAAACGGTCACGCCGGCACGTGCTCACGGCAACCGTAGCCGGCGGAAAAAGCCGTTTGCTCTACGTCACCGACTTAAAACGAAAGTCCGCTACCTCGTCGACACCGGCGCAGAAGTTAGCGTTCTTCCAGCAACGACAAAGGAGCGTCATCTTGACCCATCCTTCAATCTTCAAGCAGCCAACGGCAAGGCAATCGCGACATTCGGGAGACGGTATGCCTACCTCAACTTAGGTTTACGCAAACCTATCCACTGGATTTTCCTCCTGGCAGACGTCTCTATGCCCATCATTGGCATAGATTTGCTAAACCATTACGATCTACTCGTAGATGCTCGCCGTCGACGACTGATAGATAACAGCACAAAGTTATCTATTGGCGGCACCACCTATGTAGGTCCGAGTTTAGCCATCGTTAGGACTAAACAATCAGGCGACGCGTCCTACCAGGCAGTTCTGGAGAAATATCCAGAGTTACAGCAACCGAAGCACACTCTTCCGTGCATAACCAGCAATGTTATGCATCACGTCACAACCACAGGTCCACCTGTGGCATCCAAAGCGCGCCGTTTAGCCCCCGATAAGCTGCAAACGGCGAAAAATGAATTCGACCACATGATCGACCTCTATTGGCATATAAGTCCCTAGTAGGGCGTAACGCGCGTCCTGGATTTTTCTGCTAATCACAACCAGCTTATTTCGAAGGTAACCCCCTTATAAGTGATGTTTCAGATCGCTACATCCGACCGACGGATGACTCAATTATCGAAATTCTCGACGATGTGCCTGGTAATGCACAGCTGCAACAACCATCGGCGCAACAAAAACACGATCAGGTCGTACCGTCAGGTTCACAGAGTATCTGAAGTCTTATTCAACTTAGCTGTGTGTGTGCCAACCATTTTTTTTCTTTTTTTCGAGGCACTATTTTTCTTATTTACCGGCAATGCACAAACCCTCGTACACTTTGCCTTTTTATATCAATTTTTATTACCATGTAATAAAAACTAAAAAAAACCGGCGAAGATAAGCGTAAATTTTTATTTTTCGATATGTTTATATATAAATAATTCCCATTTTTACGCAACGTTTTCGTGGTATTAAAGACTTTTATTTATATTCCAGGTGCAACGGGCGCTGGACGGAACGTCAAAAGGAACAGATGACCGCGACCGACGTACAATTTCATTTATTGTATTTTATTTATTTAATCGCCACGACACCCTAGAATAAGGTACAGACAACCAGGGGCCACCTCACGCAGTGAGCCCATCGGAAGAGTTTTACCAGTGGAGAAACCACTGGGTTTTTACTTCCGGCTGGTATCGTCTCAGGGTCCTCACGAACCCACTAGGGGGGGAGTGATCTGTAGCGTCACACACTTCCCCAAAATCAATAGCCTAGGGTCTGACGACTTTCGACATTGATGCTGACCTTGATAGTTTAACTGGACTCGCTAAGCTGAAGGCACCCGGTCAAGCATCCTCGCCATTTGGCACGCTGTCGTGTTACGTTGCATTGCTCGTATTCGACTCTCTAGCCAGTTAGTTGGAACGCATCGGTATTTTGGCACAACCATCCAAATATACTATTCCATCCGACTACGCTATCGTGTTCTACCTTGGTCTCGTATTCGTGGGTATATAACAAGTTCGAATAATTAGTGATTGGTCTTTGCGTCTGTCAAGTTCGCACCAGGACAAATCCTAAATCTCCATAGTGGCCACTCGGTAGGACTCCTCTGTTTGGGTGACCTGGGTTACTCATTATTTTGTAAGCCATTATTAAGTCGCCATGTATCCTTCGATAGCTAAGGGAGTATAGACCTATGTCTTTGAGTCCATCCTAGTATGGTTTTCGTTACATTCCAACAACCCCTTTCGTGGCTCGCCTCTGGACTTTCTGTAGTAGGTTCGCGCCTGTTTTCAGCTGTGGTGGGGCGAAGACGTTATGGGCCTTTAAGTGTGGCTGTACGTAAGTCTTGTAGAGCTTCGGAAAGAGTTCTAGGGTGAGGGCACCCAGTTGTCTACGCACAAAGTGTAGTACCCCATATGCTTTTGAGATATCACCTGGGTAATTGGAGCCGATGTCCAGTTTCTCCGTCACCGTTACACACAGGTCTTTTTCTACTGTGGTATAGGATGGACGTGAACCACAGAGATAGTAGGATGTTTTCTGAGGATCGGGAGTGCGGAAAAACATGGACCAGCACCTATCCAAGTTAAATGCCAGTTCATTACTAGCTCCCCATTCTTCTAGTGGTCTGGGGTCCTTCTGTGATGCCATGGATTCCGCTTCGCAAGTTATTGCCCTCCATAACTTGACATCATCAGCGTACAGGAGAATCGGGGAGCTGATATGTTGCGGCAGGTCATTTACGAACGGTAAGAACAACAGTGGGCCCAAGACTGCTCCTTGTAAGACATCGGATGAGGATGTTCTCCAAGTTGAGTAGACCCCTTTGACTTTCGTGCAGAACTCCCTGTTGTCCTAGTAGTTCTCCAGCCACGGTAGCACCTGACTGCGAATACCTAACCCAGCTATCTTGTGTATTAGGATCGTAAGTGAGAGGGTGTCAAAGGCTTTGGCGAAGTCCAGAAAAATTACTTATACCGGGACCTTGAGATCCCAGCATGCTATTCAGGGATCGTGGGCCATCAGAGGTAGGAGGCACAGGACCTGCCCTTCCGGAAGCCTTATTGAGCGTCACTGAGTGCCCGCTTGGTGTACAGGCATTCTCTGATACGGTCGTCCACCACACTTTCCGTTACTTTTGATATTACTGGTAGAAGTGCTATGGGTCTATAACGGTTGGGATTCTGCCTGTCTCCTCCTTTGAAGATGGGAGCAAGGACAGCCCGTTTCCACTCTCGTGGGAGCTTTCTCTCATCTTAGTAGTGTTGGAAGAGGTTACAGAGTGGGCCACTTAGGGTACTTGCACATTCTTTCAACATAGATGGGCGAATGTCGTTGTACCCTGGGGATTTTCCAGCGCTTAACTTCAAAAACTTG